CTCAGAAGTTTACCCTTGGTTGTCTTTTGAAGTATTAACTATTGAAGTTCCCCTTTTATCGACATTCGAACATCTTCTATGAAAAGATTATCCGATTGCGATGAAATTTGGTGAGAATATTCAGAATAGGGTCTAAAACATCATCCAGTCGTATTTCAGTGGATAAAAAATTGGAATCATAAAGAGGTACATAAGTGAAGTACCATTTTTGGTTCCGTTTTTTTTTCTTTGGTTTTTAATTTCAAAGTTATTTCAAATTATCAAATTTATTGAATTAACACATTTACAGTGGCAAGGCACTTTAACTTAAAAAAAAACAGTGTAGTCAGAGAGTAGACGTTTTGGATGTGCCTTGATTTATAAAGAAAACGTTACTTACAAGTTAGAAATTTTACATTTCGTCATTATTATGACAAACTTTACTTCAGATTGGATATAACATCATTGTTTCTTTCAAATCCAGAAAAGATTTATACTGAATTTTTCATTCTTCCTGAGAGCCTGCCATTTTGCGCATGTGCAAAGTCGGAAACGGAGAATTTATGGCTTTGTCCCAAATTGTTTGGTCAATTTTCGTGGCGACTGGCTAATTTATATGGCTTGCTAGTGGCGGTGTACAAAGTAAAGAACTATATTATCTAATTACTATATTCTGACAAAAAACGATGGAATCTCTCTAAGTACATTTTTATGGAAGACCAAACAGTCCAATATTAAGATGTCTTAATCCCTATGCCTTAATTAATTGTGATTTTTTCGTTCATCTCCGGAAATGATTAATAATTTACTAGTGCGATCTCGCTTGACCTCCGCATTTGCTTTTTTTGATTAACATGGGTTATCTCTACAATGTCAGCTAGTAGGATGTAGGCCTATTAATGTCTACTTTGAGAAATACAAAATGGCGGATTTCAGTTATTACGAAATATCACAATTTTTTATCGGCCGAATTTTCCATAATCCCAAGCTGTAATCGGAATTCCAAGTGTCGTCTGCTAGAATGTGGTCCAACGAATGGAGTCACGTGATCAACTAGCGGTTTCCGTGTCAGCAGAAAAATTCTATGTGGGTCATATTCTTATGTTGTTTCGATGTCTTTTAGCAATAAATCACGCTACCTATCTTATTTTATCAGTCACTATTTTTTTTAATCATGGTTCTTTCAAGGAATTGTCACTAGTTATGATGAATTGATATTAAAGATAAATACTAAGAAAAGTTAATTATACCACTGGGTATCCATACAACGTGTTTATCTGGACTTATTTATAGATCAAACATTGTACACGAAAATAGGTGGCGCATTTTGCCGCCGTTGTCGAGTTGGTTACTCATGAAATATGGGTCAAAGAAAGGGAATCATAAAGAAAATCGAAACAAACCAATTTCAATTAGAAAACTAGATCTACAGGCTTCGCGTGGTTCTGAAGCAGTGCGTAACAGTTTTGATTTCACGCTTAAAACTGTGCCGCAAAGTATCGTAACAGTAACATAATTTCCTATCATAATTAACTGGTTATAGATCGCCCAAACGCAAAGCATATTGGACGGATCGCTTCAACTCACATTATAATATTCCATAACCTACTGTTTTCAACAACAGTTGAAGGGAGCAAACTACCTTTATCGTTTAGACCACAAAAAAACCGACCGAGGAAAACCGACTTTTTCAAGATAAAATTCTTCAATTTCAAATGGCGATTAAATCGGAAGTAAACACCGTACAATATACGTTAATATACCATTGGATAGATCTCGTCGAGAGCTATCAAAAATTGTTCTGGTCACATGATCACCAAAGGTCAAGGTCACGATATACGACCCTTCAAAGTATTCATATTTTTCAACCGGAAATAAATAAAAAGCAAAATCAAAATTCAAAAATCGGTTCTCAAATACTATTTAGCAATCGATAGTAGATACCATAGATATCAAATTTACCCAAATTGAATTACACACTGAGAACCCATTTCGATTTATAGAAAATTACGGAAAGTTAATATAGAAGAAAGTACAAAATTTTCAAATATTAAAAAGCGCAATTTTGATTGAAATATCTAGTGTTATATATCATTACAAATAGCAGATGAACACCAGTAAGATTCAATAAGAATTTTTGGTGTATGTAAATCACGTCACGTGTCAGAGCTCTTTGAAGATAAAAATCGTAATTTTCAATCGGTTATAAAACCGGAAGTAAACATTGCACAGCACAAATGAGTATATAACTGAATAGATATCATCAAGAGCAACAAATTTTGTTCAGGCCACAAGGTCACCAAAGGTCAAGGTCACGAAATAGGACCCTTTGAAATTTTGGACATTACCGAAAAATTTTAACCGGGAATAAAAGAAAAGCAAAAATTACAAAAGTTTGACATATCAATATGGCGGCTACTCTGTTACATCCGGGTCGGATTTTATGATTTGAAGTTTTTTGTTTGACCATTTGTAACATATTGCAAAGGAATTTTTGAAATATCTTCAAAATTCCGGAAGTTGAATTTTATGTTTTACAAGCGAATAGTGTCAAAACCGGAAGTGATATCGAAATTTCGAAAATTAGGTTTTTGTTCGCAATAAAAGTGTCTATCCTTCTGTAAGTTTTCATATTGATCGAAATAGAATTGTAGAAGTTGGAAAAAAGGTTAAAAAACGCAAAAATTGGAGCTCAAAAAGTCAGCGACAAAAGTCAAAATTGTAGATTTTTTCAATTGCTATCTTGTAGTCATTAGCGCAAAGTAATAAACAGTAAAGTTTGAGCAATATCAGATCAGTATTAAAGCTGACAAATGGAAAAAATCGAAAAAGAGCCATTGTCCACCGCTAATTTCCGGTTGGTCAAAATGCTGCCAATTTACATTTAACAAATAATTGTCAAATATTTTGACTACAAAACAGCAATAGACAGATTGTAGCATGTTTCCTTCTTAGAAAACAAGCGAAGGTGAAATTCGAAAAAAAAACTAGAACTGTTCTAATAACAGTACTGATGCAGGGCGTGTTACGACATTCAGGTACATACAAAGATGGTCTATTGCAATTACATTGATGTAAATACTTTTATGCATCTCTAAATGCAAACATGCAAAAGTGCTTGGAGTTCAAAGTATATTGACTAGGAATAAAAGAATGTTTGTTTGACCAATTTTGATGAAATCCGCATAAGAAATAAGAAATTAGGCAATGCGCATGCGCACAACAAAATTCAATATTTCTATTGAATTTATAATTGGATAATACACATACATACCAAGTTTGATTAAATTCGGATAAGAAATAAGAAAGTTGATAATGCGCATGCGCACAACAAAAATTCAATATTTCCATCAAATTTAGAATTGGATTATACACAAACATACCAAATTTGGTGAAATTCAGATAAGAAATAAGAAAGATGGTAATGCGCATGCGCACAACAAAATTTCAATATTTCCATCAAATTTAGAATTGGATTATACACATACATACCAAATTTTTTGAAATTCGGATAAGAAATAAGAAAGATGGTAATGCGCATGCGCACAACAAAAATTCAACACTTCCATCAAATTTAGAACTGATTTATAGACATACATGCCAAGTTTGATGAAAATCAGATAAGAAATAAGAAAGTTGGTAATGCGCATGCGCACTACGCAAATTCGATAATTCCATCAAATTAAGAATTTGAGTGTACACATACATTCCAAGTTTGATGAAAATCGGATGAGAAATAAGAAAGTTGGGAAATTAAGTGGAGGTATCCCTTTAATGTGCTTCTGTAAGCTAAACTTACAGGATTACAGGATCCACCCCAGAGCTTATTTATATACCGCAACTGGACATAAAACATATCAAAGGAATGTAAAAGGAAGGGTATCTTAAACTTAAACTGAGGTTAATATAATTAGTCGATTTATCTAATAATAGTCCCATGTTAAGTGAATGGGGTTTTGAATTTGCACGTAAGGCATGCATATTATATATCACTGGAAAGCTCAAGATCTCAGCATTATGAATCCGAAAGAATTATTGCTTTACCTCTAAAAGGGCACATGCAAGGACGCTTTAAAGGTGCAGAATCAACTTTCAGTGACACCCATAAAACCGAAACATCGTGTCGGACACAAAAAATATTAGCATCATGTAAAAGCTGAAGTCAATAGTAAACATCAATGTAAATATCAACGTCATCCGAGGCCAAGTTCCTTTGATAGACGCATTTAAAGATTTAAGGAAATTGCAATATTTCCTTTAATGTGACTCTGACATCATCAAATACCACATGAATTGAAACCAAAGTGCATTAATAATCTGAAAGTGGTATGGCGCTAAATCAATTAGGGTTTGAGATACAGCACTGCAAAAATGCCATTTTGACCATATTTAGACCCCTATAAAATCAGAAGTTGTTGTTTGACCCCAAAGGTCAAAAGGTCATGAGAAGGTCAAGGACAGCCTTTATCACCATAGTCAATATAAAGGTCATCAAAGTTCAAGGTCATGAGTTATAAGCCTTCAAACTTTGAAAAAAAAAAAAGGTCGTACAAAAAAGGCAAAACCGAAAATCAAAATTAAGCTTCCCATTTTTTGTAAACAGACATTAAACGTATCGTATGACACAAAAGTTATGCAAATCAGATGATAAATGGCCTCTATATAGCAAAAGCTGAAGTCAATAGTAAACATTAATGTAAATATCAGCGTCAGTAGTGTATGAGCTTATAGATTGGTCGCATGGGGATTCCCCATTCCATTTCATTTCATGGGGAAAATACGACCAATCTATAAGCTCCCAAAAAAGACCTAAATTCCCTACATTTCATAAATTCTTACAGCAAAACATCCTACATTTCATAAATTCTTACATTAAAATAGACCTAAACACCTTCAATCAATTTCCTACATTCCATCAAAAAAAGCATATTAAAAATACATCTGGTTTTTAAATAATGTAGAAGGGAGATAACTTTTGTTTTGGAAAAAACAATTTTCTACTCAAATTTTAAACCTTAAAAATGGCAAATAAAATACTAGATCCAATCTTTAGATTATACGATCCGATTCGTTATTCGTTTAACAAGAAAAAAGAGGATTATATTATCATCTCACCGACTGTTGGTTCTAAATCCCAATTGAATGATGGTGGTATAATTACCTTCGAAATAAATTCATTATCGAATTGGTTGCTTCTTTCCGATTCTTATTTCAGATATGATTTCAAAAATAAAGATGGAACTCAGAATCAAGTTCCTCAAACTAATACAACGTTAGAAAACAATTTCTTTCCATCTTTATTTAGCGAGATGGTTCAAATCCGATAGAAACAATTAAACACCCTGGGGAATTAGACACAATGTTGAAAACAGTTTTATATCCTAAAGATTTCGATTCAGTCTCAGGTTGGATACCCGATGTTGGCGATGGAAGTGTTTTTTGAAAGAACCGGTAAGAAATGTTGCAAATGATGCTGATTTAGATAGAGTGAGAGTTGTTACAATAATGTCTTTAGAGTGGCAATGAACCAAACTAAAAATCCTTTAATCCATAAAGTTCAAGTAAGATTAAACAACGATAATTATCCTAACCAACCTTTAACAATTAATCCAACCACAAAGGATTATAATGAATTGTATAGAAACTATAAAAATATGTGTGAATTATTTGGAAATCTACCTCAGTTTGAATATGTAGATTTTGCACTTAATCATCCAATCTTCTGTTTTGATCTATCAGCTCACCAAGTAGATCTTTTCAAAACACGAGTCAACAAAAATATTCATATTGAAAAAACACAAGGAGATGTAACAGGTTATTGTTTATTATTGGAAGAAGCAAAACATTTAATTAAAATAGCAGATAGAAGAATGATAAGAATTGAGTAAAAAAAAAAAAGTAGAAACTTTAGTTATGAAAATAATAGACGCTGTTGAAACAGATTCCCAAACTGTAATAACTTTCAACGGTAAAAAAATCAGTATAACTAAAAAACTTATTGATAAATACAAATATTGTAAAGTTAGAGACGATATAGATTTAGAAAGAATTGACGCGAATGTAAAACAGGTGGATTTATATGGATTCCCTACCTTTAATATTTGCTGGTATTACCGCGGCTACAGTGACCGGTGCTACAGCTGCTTGAGTCAAAACTGCCAACGCAAAGAAAGCTGCTGATGCAGAAGCTGCTGCTACAAAAGAGGCCGAAGAAAAGAAAGCAGCCGAAGAACAAAGACACAATTTAGCATTGGAAAAGTTGGCAGCAGAGGTTGAAAAACCTAAATCGGAAAAGAAAGGTTCAGGAGTGGGAGATATGATAGTGACAATGAAAGAATTTGGAAAAATATTTAGTGAAGAAACCAAGAAAACTGTTAAACAAGGATTAAATAAATTAGTAGATAGTATTGACAAAGGAGAAATCAAAGTCAAACATAAGGGTAATGGAATATTTTAAAAAAATGTATACACTGGAGAAGGAACATATCTTTCAAAGTATAAAGGAGAAGGAGTTATTTTTGGAACAAATTAAAATAATAAAAAATGGGCAAAAAATTTAATCATTCAGAAATATTTCCTAATAACCCAATGCTCATGTGTATATGCGGTAGTTCCGGTTCTGGGAAAACTCATCTCACTTTTAACATGTTGACTACACCAAACCTTTTAGACTTCGATTCTCTGTATATCTACACAACAACACCAGAGCAATCGTATTATCAATTTCTCAAAGCTTTAGAATATCTACCAAAGAAAGATGTTCAAGACCTATTTCAATATTACGAAGAACACGAAGAAGAAGTGGAAATAAAAGATATCATAGATAACTACATCGAAGGAAAGAATCCAACGGATATAAAAGTTTTTCTTACGAAAAATGTCAATGATCTAGACTTGTCTAATATTGATAGCAAACGAAAGAACTTAATATTGTTTGACGTTGCCAAGAAATAAGCTGTTCAACAAGAATTCTTCACGCAGGGAAGACATCACCTGTGTCACTGCATATACCAATCTCAATCTTTTTACGGGTTGGATTCTATGTTTATTAGAAAAAAATGCAAATTGTTTTTGCAAATGACTATTTTTTTTTTTTTTTTTTGTCTACTTCTGGTCACGCTCCCCAGCCAAAACTGCACATGTCACACATTGTCTGACACTATTATTTCTTATACTTTGCGACACGCTACTGTTTAAATGTAAAATGACGCATTTTCTTCCAACCGGAAATGACGTATGACGTTAACCATTCATTACGTATTTCGAATTACTGCTCTAATTCTTCATCTATTTTGACCGTAACTTTTGTTTTGTTCATTACTTTAAACCAATGACTAAAAGATAGCACTTTATAAAATTTCAGATTTTGACTTTTGTCGCTGACTTTTTTTGTTTTAATTTTAGCGTTTTTTTTTCAACTTCTACAATTTTATTTCAATCCGTCTAAAAATTTAATAGTAGATAAGCATTTTGATTCCTGACAAAAATCTATTTTCAAAATTTCGCTATCACTTCCGGTTTTGACGTCATTCGCCTCTAAACTTGAAATTTCAACTTCCGGAATTTTGTAGGTATTTGAAAAATTCTTTTTGAAATTAGTTAAAATTGTCCCTATAACAATTTTGGAATCAAAAAATTTGACCCGGAAGTAATGTGTAAGA